TGCCCGGGCCCCCCCCCCCCCGTGGCTTTGCTCTGCGTCTCCCTGGTCTTCAGACCAGGGAGACGCGGAGAAAGCCCCGGAGTACACGGGTGGCAGGACCGCGAGGTCCCGCAGTCCGTGTCCTCCAGGGGAGCCCCGTTCGTAACTGCAGATCCAACGTAAGTCGGATCCGCGTAAGTCGGGGACAGCCTGTATTTGGGATGCCTCCACATTATGATGCACTAAGCATATATGAAGTTTTACAACAAGCTAGACTATTAATGAGATCTAATGTGCTTGGTGCTACTCCTAGGGAATTTCTGCCTGATTCAATCTGGCTGCTATTTTTGAAAAGTTTGACAAAAGTTTACTTAGAGAAAGGTTATCCAGCACTCCATTATCTTTAAGATATTCTACAAAAGGATGAAGTAATTAGACAAAAGTTACCTGAAAAGTCGTATCTGATCGTACCCATCCACCGCTTCTTTTCACTGTCTTTTAGAATATCACCATAAAAACCGTAACCCAACAGTGACACAGTGTACTTCAGAAATGCGTTGTTGTGATGTATGGAAGAGACATCCAGAGGCTGAGAATCACCTGTTAACAGAAATTCCAGGCTTTATCTCAGTTAAAAAATTCTTTGTTTCAAACCTGATACCTCTACTAATTTTTAACATTAAAAACATTTTGTTTTGCTGAGAGCTCTCTTATAAAACATGCATCAGAGAAAAAGAGAAAAATACCGCAAGGCTAGCAATGTCAAATACTGTTAAAGGAGGAAAAATAATGAAGACACAAGGAGGCAGTATACCAATGGGAGACAATGGAATGGGTGAAAGAGACAATTGCAGCATCTTGATGAATTCTACCATTTTTGAAGTTGCTTAATGTAATGTATTCGGGCTAATTCTATATTTTAGAATACATAAAAAAGCAATGCTTAAAAATACAAATTACACCTATATTTAATATTTTACGCCAAATACTATACTCTGAGCACGAGGGCCCCAATCCTGCAAAGATGTCCACAAATGCTTAACTTTATATTCACTTCAGTGGGACTACTCACAATTCATGAAGTTAAGTATTTGCCTAAATCTTTGCAAAAATATATAAATCACATTTTAGGATTACAATGGTTTAGCTTTTGAAAGCTAACAAATGCTGAAAGGTGGCATGCAAAATCTTAATGATGCTCTATCCTTCAGAATTACAATAGTTTTCAAATACATAACATTTTGTTCTTGTTTACAATAGATCATAACATTTTTATCAGTCTGCTGTGTATTGCTCTGTGCATGCTAGACAGTACCCACAAAAATGTATTCACCAAAAGTTAATGGTTTCAAAAAGTTATGAAAACAGTGGGTTAAAACAGAAATGCTCATTCAAACTTAATTCTCTTTAGCATCTATATAACTAGCAAACATCTCATACTTTATCCATTATAATCAAACTATATTCTTACACATGAAAGAAAGGCCTAAACAGAAATGATCACTCCTGGATATGTTAAGGCAGGCATGTCAAACTGGAAGCCTACTGAGGTCCACACAAATGAAAACTGATAGCTTTCAGGGCCACCAAAGAAAATGTACTTTATCAGAAAGTCGTAATTATTTATTATTATAGATTATGTTTTAGGTATATTTTATAATGTTTTTCAGGTCTTGTTTTAATATAATATAATAATTTGATGTATAAAATTGTTATTTGCACATATAAAATAATTTTTAATTTAAATATACATTTAACATACAGGCAGTCCCCAGGTTACATACAAGATAGGGACTGTAGGTTTGTTCTTAAGTTGAATCTGTATGTAAGTCGGAACTGGCGTCAGCCGCTGCTGAAACTGATCAGTTTCAACCGTGGCTGAATCTGGATGCCAGTTTTGACTTACATACAGATTCAACTTAAGAAACCCAGGAGTCCCCAAATCAGCTGCTGCTGAAACTGATCAGCGGTTGATTCCAGGAAGCCTGGGGTGGCTTTGCTCAGGTGTCCCTGGTCTGCTGGGGGGGTCCAGCGGCTTTGCTGGACCCCCCCAGCAGACCAGGGAGACCAGGAGAAGCTTTTCTCGCCCCGGAGGACACGGGTGGCGACCTGCCGCCCATGAGCTCCGGGGCGAGAAAAGCCCCGTTCCTAAGTGCGGATCCGACATAAGTCGGATCCGCATAAGTCGGGGACTGCCTGTACTTGTTAATTTTTTGTGAGATACATAACTTGTTTTGTTGAACTAAAAACAAGTATAGACCATGGTTAATCATCAGAACATGCTTCTGCGAAAATTTCAGATACTTTGTAAGTTTGAGATTTTGCATAAACATGTAATTATTCGTGCAACTGCAAAAAATTGACATATTTATTGTTATAAAATTAATATACATTTTGTGATTTTATTTGGGAATAAATACATAAAAAACAAAATAATCCCCTCCTCTCTCTCAGAGCAGGCACTCCCATACCTCCATTCTAACCCATTCCTCCTCCGTTCCCCCAGAGCCAGGTACCCCCAATTTAATGCCTCCTCCCTCCCCCAGAGACAGCCCACCCCAACCCAACGCCTCCCCTCCCCCAGCCCAGCCCCCCCAACCCAATGCCTCTCCTCTCCCAGAGCCAGGTGCCCCCAACCCAACACCTCCCTCCTCCTCCCCCAGAGCTAGCCCCCCCCAACCTAATGTTTCCCCACTCCCCCACAGCCAGGCACTCCCAGCCCCCCCAACCTAATACCTGGTCTTGGAGACGCCATTGCTGCCACCACATATTTCTTCCTCAAGAGCACTGGGGCGACATGAGTATAGCAGCCAGCTGTGAGTGTGCGGTGGGCACCGTGCACAGAGCGGCCCAGCCGGCTGTAAGCACGTGTGCAGAGAGCTCAGCGCAGAGCGGCCTGGTTGGCTGTGAGCAAGTGCACAGAGCGCCTAGCGCAGAGCAGCCGAGCTGTGAGCACGTGCTGGGTGCCATGCATAGAGCAGCCCCAGCCGTGAGCAGTCGCTGTGGCACAGAGTGGCCTGGCTGGCTGTGATCTGTACTCGGCCACATGCTCTGAGTGGCCGGTGGGCCACACTTTATTCCTTTATAAAAATGTACTGGTGGGCCGCAAAAAATTTCGATCGGGCCGCATCCGGTCCACCGAACGCCAGTGTGACATGCCTGTATTAAGGTCTTGAAAAGAAGTAAGTGGCATTTAAGCTGAATACCTACCTAAAATAATATGTAGCGCTGATGTTACTGGATCAGCGACACCAACTGTTGCATAGCATATGCAGTCCGTTGACCCTGTAAAAACAAATGCTTTTAATTTTTCATCCTCTAATAATAGAGAGAATACTGCTTTATATATGCGCAGTCATTCAAATAAAAACATTAAATTTGCTCTCATTGCTTTTATTCCATTCCCTGAAATGTGGAAATAGAATAAAACAAAGAAATAATATGGATATGAAAATTATAACAATCTATATTAGAACACTGATTTTCTCTCTCAGTGAAATTTACTCTTCTATGCACAAAGTCCATTTACTTCTATTTTATGCACTGAAGAATGCTGGATTTGGGGCGATAGAATCAGCTCCTACTTTACACCTCTTTATCTCAGCCTGTGGAAAGAAGTGGTAGCTGCTCCCACTTTACACCCAAAATTCAGAAATTCCTGCTCACTAAAACCTCATTAAAAGAGATAAGACAACCCACTCCCCACCAATCAATTCACATCCTTGGGGCACAGTTCCTTAGAGCACATCTACAGAGCAGGGCAAAAGTTGAATTAAGCTATGCAACTGCAGCTACGTCAATTGTGTAGCAGAAGTCAAAATAGCTTAATTTGGCTTTTGGCGCTGTCTACACAGCAGGAAGTCGAAGGAATATTACCAAAGTACAAATTTACTGGGTTGTGGGCTCTATAATTAATCAGTAACTTTATATAAACGCCTGGATTGCACGTTTGAATGTTTGTCTGAAGTAAAGATACAACAAAAAGTCTAAAATCTAGCAGTTATACCTTGCCTTTGCATTAAAGGAGCATATTTATCATTACTGCATACTTTTGCTTAGATGAGGAACAGCTTATGATAAATCCCACATACTGGAAAAGAGTTGCTGTGACACAGAGTTTCCTAGGTAAAAAGTCCCTACTGTTCTTTAAAAAAAACTCTCATCTCAGACCTGATGAACTCACTACATGCAACTCATCATACAGGATATTTACCTATGTAAGCTAGCTATAGAAAACTCGTAACTTGTCAAGATTCATAATGATGACATTTATGTACAAGTAATATTTAAAATAATAAAAGTACTGTACTTGTATTGAAAGTATGGCTTTATGGACTCTGCATAAAAATTAGTTACCAGGAGATAATGTGTGTTGATGATAGCCCATTCAAACAGGAGGAAGTTGCCACCCTGCCTATTTTGCTGGCTATACAATATGAGGCTCAGTTGTTTGGTCTTGTCCAATGCTGAGACTTTCAATGGAAAACCATGAGAGGCAACAGTAGGCAATCAAAACCTCTTGAAGGTAAAAAAGAAACATTATAGCAAGACGGGAGCTCGCCATATCTATGAATAGATATAAAATTATTTTTCAGTCAAACACAGAAGAAGGGAAGGTATCCTGAATCCTTTCATTGTGGAAACACCTAGATAAACGAGGTGTTCTCATGAAAAATTGGGTCCTGGTTCACATGAAGTCAGCCAGTGCTGCAACAAACCGAACTCAGAGAAAGGATTCAGAAATCTACGTTTTAGATAATAAAGATAACTACTAAGTGTAGACTCGGGTTCTTTTTTTTTGTTTTGCTTTGTAACCATTTGTTTTCATCATTCTCACTTCTAGCAGAATCTTCATTCTTTTGTTTTTTTTACAAGTGCTTATGTGTTATTCAGGGGCAGTGCATTTAGATAAAACTAAACTGTTTCTCTTGCGGACAAAGGATCTGGAATGCCTGTTTGCAGACAATATCAGGGGCTGGATATCACAAAAGGGAACCATTCAAAAGGATAGGGATATTGTTAATCTGTAAAGTGAAGTCTCAGCTGTCATTGCCTGGAGGAGAGTGCACCAGTGGCTGTGAAGCTAGTGACATTAGGGAGCTGACACCTAAACGAAGGACAGGAAAGAACTCAGTGGGTAACACTGCCTCCCAGTTCTTGAAACACTGAGAACCATCATAGTTGTTAAAAGTAAACTTTGCTTTCTTTAGCACAGCAAATAATTCTTTTTCTACCTTCTGAATAATTTTAATAATTTTAGCTTCATGTCAATGGTTTTACTATTTTTGAAGGGACATGGTGAAATTTTACTCAATATTTAGATTTTGTAAAAACAAACAAATCTAAACCCAAGAGATTAGTTTGCATGCATTTTTAAAGATTCCAGTAAGACCAGTTTTTTGAGAGAGTAACAAGCTATATTGTGTACAAGCCAAACATCTCAGAATTCTATAAACATATATGACTTGCAAGTGACCTTAACTAGAAAAGCAAATTATAAAGAAGTGAAACAAAGTGAAATTGACTGTTTCTGTCTTCTTATTAATGCAAAGAAACATATTACACATAGTAAGGAATACTTTTGATTTGTTTGATCTGTTCATTGCCGCACAGATATGGAAGTTTTATTCAAAATTATTTTAAATGTGGCTACACCCCTTTAAGTTTTGGCCCTTCTTATCTATGTGTATAGATATTTAACATACCAAACATTTAACATTAGACAATTAAACCATAAAAAGATCTGTTCAACTAAGGACATCATCTATTTTATACTGTTTAAAATATATCACAGGATTAATTTAAAACCCTAATATAAAGGATGCATAATATACATCCAACCTTAGATTATGAAATACTGCCTTCAGATGAAGAACTGCAGAGTGAGTAGACTGAGTAGGGGGAAATTACCTTACAGGAGCCTAAACTGAGATGAGAAATGGGTTTGAGGAAAATCAAGGAAGGTTAAAAATGAGTAGTCCTGTGGCACCTTAGCAACTAACAAATATATAATCATGAGCTTTCATGGGCAAACCCCACTTCTTCAGATGATTAGTCAAGACAAAGCCAGGAGCCAGCATTTAGGTGAGATTTGCTATGGATCTGCCAGCCCTTCTCCTTCCTCCTTCCCTTAAATTGATAGCATAAGCTTTGAAGAACCCCTGTGTCCACTGGCTCATTTCAGATACAGCCCAGATATTCTGGACAGAGGCCAAGTCAGATTACTCCATTTTCACAAAGCCAATTCAGACTAAGAAACATGCCTAAGGATGAATGATTAATTTATTTGAAACGCTCTTTCCATTCATTTTCTCACCCCAGAGGAAATCAGGGCATACACTACTGGTAGATGGTGTCATCAGCACTGTCACTGAAAGATACTAGAGAGGAGGCTGTTCAATCTCATACAAACATTTTGCAGAAGCTGGACACAGTGATTTAGAGAGTTTAACGAGTAAGGCTCTGAAAGTTGGAGGAGGCAAACACACTTAATGTAATCATACTCCAAAAGAAACAGTAAGTGTGATAGAGAGACATTTCTGAAAGACCTGCAGTTCCGGTCACACTATCATGGGCAAGGATCCCAATTTCTTTTTTAGGATAGTGACAAATATGATAGATGACAGGTGGCAAGAAGTCAAATCTGTGGTTTCATAGTAGTAACAGCTGTTCAGAGACTTAGTATGTTGAAATGCTAAACCAAATCTTTCCATTTTATTTTGCACTAGCTCCATATTCTGTCATCCAACAGTAGGAGCCCCAAGGGAATGAACAGAATAGGTAATCTATCCTGTCACCCATTCCCAGCTTCTGACAAACAAACTTGTGGTGGGAGAGGCCCAGGTTGGATATTAGGAAAAACTATTTCACTAGGAGAGTGGTGAAGCACTGGAATGGGTTACCTAGGGAAGTAGAGGAGTCTCCACCCCTAGAGGTATTTAAGTCTCGGCTTGATAAAGCCCTGGCTGTGTTGATATAGTTGGAATTGGTCCTGCCTAGAGCAGGGGGCTGGACTTGATGACCTTCTGAGGTCTCTTCCAGCTCTATGATTCTATGAACTAGGAACACCATCCCTTCCCTTCCTGGCTAATAGCCTGTCATGGCCATGAGGGATGGCCAGCAGCCTAGGGACTAAGGATTTAACTATGTCCCCTGTACCTAGCCAGGTATCTGCTCAGCCAATAGTAATGCAGGTAGGGATTTCAAACTGGGACAAAAGATTTTTAAATTTTCCCTCCTTTGTCTCTTGGCCAGTTTGCTCTCTAGATACTAAGGGTGACAGAAGACATGTCTCTCTTCAAGAAAAAGACTCTTCATAATATGTAAGCAGGGTAAAGTCTAGATAAATCCATCAGGTTTTATTGTTTTCTGGTTTGGGGATTTGGATCTGAAGTCTGTGCTGTTAGAAATGGATTTTCCTCCCTTTTACAACTAAGTTTTGGCCCATGGGGGAATCCTCCATAAGTATATAAATTAGTGGCTCTTACCATCTAGCCATTCCAACTATGCTTGTAACTGGGTATTGTTTTATTAATAATAAAAGTTTTCTTTTTTTAATTAACCTGGTATTGGTTCATTTCTGTGTCTTGGAAAATCTGTCTGTGGGATCTGCATGCCTCTGATGAGGGGACAGCAATCACAGACTGCAGCTTGTATTTTCTCTTTTCTTTTCAAGCTCTTTGGAGAAAAGAGCTTGGGGTGCCCTTGGATTGGTTTCAAGTGTCCACTCCTGTCAGTGGGTTCAAAAGCACTGGATGGTGGCAGCGGATTCCCCAAAATTTGGATATTAGTATTTTGGGGAGAGTTTTGTACCAAAGCCCGCAGAGATCAAGTTTTGGGTTGCTTTTGCAGGGCCCCCACTTCCGCATTCATCCTGCCAGAGTGGGGAATAGCCATGACAAAGCCACTGATTGACCTATCCTCCATGAATTTATCTAGCTCTCTTTGAACCTCATTTGTAATAGTCTTGGCCTTCATAATATCCTCTAGCAAGGACTTTGTACAGGTTGATTGTGTGCTGTGCGAACAAATACTTCCTTTTGATTGTTTTAAACCTGCTACCTATTAATTTCATTTGGTGACCCCTAGTTCTTGTGTTATATAGGAAGGAGTAAATAACTCTTCTTCATTCACTGTTTTAACACCAGTCATGATTTTATGGACCTCCATCACATCCCCCCATGTCATCTCTTTTCCAATCTGAAAAATTCCAGGCTTATTAATCTCTCCTCATAAGGCAGCTATTCCATCTCCCTAACAATTTTTGTTGCCCATTTCTACACTTT